TCAGTATCCCTCTACAGGTGCTCCACCACCATCACAAGAGGAGGTCGAACCAATTGTTGTGGAAGATATTGGTACAGGGCGACAAGAGGGTCGTGGCCTTGGACGTCGACGCAGGCATGTAGATCACCAGCCTGTAGATATATCTGTGCCATCACATGACCTCCCTGCAGGTAGTTATTATGCTTATCCAATGACACCATCAGGGGGTTATAGTCAGTATGTTTATACTTCAGGTGATACTACTGGAGAAAGTCCAACTTCTGCTGCTTATGTTTCATCTCCATTTGATACACATTTACCACCTTCATCTGGTACCTATGTTCCTTCTCAATCAACACAGACTCCAGATCCTTATACGAGCAACATGATGACCCCGTCAGCACCTTATTATCCATTTAGATATGGCGGGGATGATATGCATGGTACTTCTTTTGGAGGATCTTCTGTTCGACAAGGTACTTCTATTGGACAGTCTGGTTTTGGACAGTCTGGATTTGGACAGTCTGGTTTTGGACAGTCTGTTTTTGAACAATCAGGTTTTGGACAATCTACTTCTTTTGAACAGTCTGGTTTTCAACAACAAGGTTTTGGACAACCAACGCCTGTTACAGAAGAGGTAGAAGAGGAGGACCCTGTAAGAAGGAACCTAGATCGGGGTGCTAGGTATCGTGGTCGTTAATGTATTTTGCACAAAATACTCCATTTTATAATATTAAAAATAATATTTATAAATTTCAAAAACAAAACGATCATCGGATTCTCGAAGAGTTCAAACAAAAGGGACATTAGGAAGTGTGCTATAGTCTTAAATTTTTTGATGGATTTATATTTCTGTCGAAAATTTTTGATGGAAATATAAATCAGTCAAAAAATTTTGATGGATTTATATTTCCATCAAAAACTTTTGACGGAAAATTCCGTCGAAAATTTTCGACGAAAATATAAATCCATCAAAAAAATTTGACGGAAATATCCGTCAGAAATTTTTCGTCGAAAAATTTATATTTTCCGACGAATTTATATCCGTCAAAAATTTGCATTTTTCTTGTAATGCTCATCAGTTTAGCTGTTGTGGTGCTGTTTATCTCTGAAAAGTAGGTGATTTCTCTTACACAGCTTTGACTTGTAACTCCATGCTTGCCTATTTTTCTTCTTTTCTGTATTCCGTTTTGATGTACTTTGGTGTTTCTTGTATGATTTCATTCAATTGTGATTAGTGGACATCGGACACGCTTCATCATTTTTGACTTCGCTTGTATATATGATACTTCGTCTAATCTTTACTACCCTTTACATTTAATCATGAGAGTGATAACTTCGTCTTCTAGTTCTTTAGGCTTTATCTGATGATTTCGCCACTTCATGTTGATGTTTGGCCAACTTTCGTCCCGTGCTTGACTTAGTCTCATACACCGCTTGTTTCATTCTTACATTTAATTTCTCAAGCTTCAGCTGATAGATTTGTCTTATCATGTATTTGATTTAGACCTAGATCAACTTTAGACTTGATACTAGCTTTTGCCATCGTCTGATGTCTTGTTCATTTTGATTATGCTTGATCATACTTGTCCTTCAGTTTTCATGAACTTATTATTATTTATCTGAAATACTAATACACATGTTAGCAATAACAATATGTATTATATTTTTCATATTCAAAACATCGGTGAGAATTTGCAAATGCGCTTCGTCTGACTTAACAGTTGAAAGATGAAACAAAGTGCTTAAAGACATGGTAAGGAGTGGTATTTCAAGTTTCATAATGTGATCATCTCGTTTGGTTTCAAGGTGAATTTAGTTAATGATTGTATATACCATAAGTTTTGTGGAAGCAAGTATATTTTTCTAATTTTGTATGTTGATGATCTTTTGCTTACCAACAACAATAGATTCATTGCATGAAACCAAGATATTTATAGCTAAGAACTTTGAGATGAAAGATCTTAGTAATGCATCTTTTGTATTGAGCATACAAATACATCGAGTTCATTGTAATACTTACAAGATATAGAGGTTAGATTTCATGCACAAAACGTGATATTCATCTTCTAACTTACATAACTCAGTTATTTGTTAACATTTTTATGTGATTATTGAGGCTAAATTGTAACTCCAAATGTCTACTTTATAATTCAATAATCGGAACTCTATTTGGTTAATCACACATAGAGAACACATAAATACCAAAATACATTTATACAAAAAAAATTAGATGCCAAAGCATAACTCACATCTAACGTAATTCTCCCATTCTAATCTTTTAAAAAACATAATTACGCTTAAATTACACTTCTATACTATCAATTAATCAAACTCATACATCAATTTTAAAAAATCTCTCGATTTCATCAATCTTCATCCTACTCTATAAATTAAGGATTTCCTACAAAAACTACAAGATCTCATGCATTACTCAACTACAAGCACAAATTTTGAGTTCTTCCACAGAGCATAGAAGACAAACAAAAGGATTGAGGTCAATCTCAGTACCAACAAATACCCCACACCCCAGATAGATAACTCTTACTCCTCCTTACTTTGATAGATGCTTGATGATGGATTGAGGATCTCCAAGATGTGCTCTCGTATCCTTTGCATTCTCCTTTTGGAGCTTTTAGGTTCATAAAGAAAAAGAAGTGAGAAGTGTAAACTGATTCCCTTTTTACAAAAATTCCCTTTTTAAAAACCAAATTCCTTTATTTAATTAAATATAAAAATTATAAAATAAAACAGAACAAAATACATGAATAAAACTTCCCTTTTTAAAAAACAAATTCCTTCATTTAATTAAATAAAACAATTATAAAATAAAACAAAACAAAATACATAAAACAATATAATTTAACTCATATTTTCTGCAAACAAAATATATATAACATAATATTTTTCACAAACCTTTCCATGATTAATAAAAATATTCACAATTATTTTAAAAAGATTCTAATTTGTTTTATAAAATTTCTTTAATTAATTAAAACATCTTTTTAATAATTTTAGAAAAATTTGGAGTTACACTATGAGCAACATAACATTTTATTGTTGTTGTTATTATTACTTTCGCAAAACCAAACTAAAACGTGTAGTTGTAAATGAATCACACATGAACCAAATTGTCTACACATTATATCTAAAGTTTCAATTCTTAGCCAAATAATATAAATTATAGATCGACTTTTCAATGAGTTTAATATTTCCTAAAGTCCATGAAAAAATAAACTAGGGAGGAAGAGTCCAAATTATAAATATCACTCATTATTAATTATTTACATACTCAATTATAAACATTATAGGCTTTCCAATTGTATGCTCGACTCAAATTTGTACTCAAGTCCCTTGAAACTATTCTAGCATGTGAGGATGATAACTTTATAGTTAATCTCATATGCAAAAATTTATCTATAACAAATACTAATTCATTAAGATCTCAACATCTATTTGCATGTAGTTGTTCAATTTCTTTTTGCTAACCTTTTCTATAAATTATCTGGTGTAATATAAATTAAATAAAAAAAATAGTGGGAGAAAGATAATGGAAAAGAATAGTTTCAAAGTTGTTATAAAAACAAAAATGTAAAAAAATAAAAATAAAAATTGTTCATATCAAATTTGACTATCATTTTTATATATTTAGTGAAAATGAGACTATATATATATATTAAAAAAGTTTAATTTAACATTCAAATCATTGAAACTTAACATATACTATAAGGTATTGAATAAAATTATTTTTGAAATAGTTTAATCTTTTCTCATTTATCATTATTATTATTATTATTATTATTATTATTATTATTATTATTATATATATATATATATATATTTCTTTAAATAGTACTAAATGAGATCGTCCCATTTAATATTTATAATTTTGGATAATTTTATCTTTACAATTAATTTTTTTAAATTACAATTTTTTAAATAATTTTTATTGTTTATTATTTTTAAAGATAATTTAGAGCAACTCTAACACAAGGTGCTTATCCGGTTTCTTATTTATAAGCACCGTCACCAACAAGAAACACCCATTAGAGTATGTTTACGTGGCATAACAAGGAAATTTTTTTTAGCTCCGTGTCAACGGTGCTTGCATGCTTTTGTTGTACTTTTTGTTTTCTTTTTCTTCACTTTTCTTTATAAATTATAGTGTGAGGTGTGAGGTGTCAAAAAGTGTAGTATAAATTGTAGAAAAGTTTGGGTGCTTATAAACAATTCTCATTGGAACAAAAATTATAAAAATATAATATGAGTTGTTTATGAGTGATGTGGCACAATGAGACTCATTTAAAGTGGTAGGGAGTTATCGTAGATGCTCTTATAGAAGTATGGAATTATTTATTATAGAATTTTTTTAAAAGATAAAAGTTAAAAGGTAATTTTGATGAAATTATAAAAGAAAAAAAATTTAACTGATTCAATTTTTATACATTTCCTTCTTTTACCTGTTCTCGAATCACGATGTGCGTGGTGGAAATTAAAACAGAAGAACTGAACCCAACAAAGCCACCTGGGAATCTTTTCGATAAAAAGTTAAATTTTCAAGGGAGAAGAAGGAAAAAACAGAATTACAAGGGAAAAACAAACTGTGGGCAGAGAAACCGGGGAAACATCGCATTTTCGTGATTCTTGAAATAAAAATGGTTTTGTTTTGAATATGAATTGTCGTGGAATCTTGCTACAACCTCCGAACGCAAAGCCGAAATTTCATTCGAATCAATAAAAAAATATTATTTTTTAATAAATTTATTATAAAATAATTAATTTATAATAAATTTATTAAAAAAAATATTTTTTTAATCATTGGAGGATTAAGCATTTTCCTTATTATTTTTTACTAACGATTGGCCAGTGCCGATCCACGACCCCAAGACAATGGAAAATGCTTAATCCTCCGAAAGCTTAATCCGAAACATCCTCTGAATGATTAAAAAAATATTATTTTTTAATAAATTTATTATAAAATAATTATTTTATAATAAATTTATTAAAAAATAATATTTTTTTTATTGATTCGGATGAAATTTCGGCTTTGCGTTCGGAGGTTGTAGCAAGATTCAAATAATAATTATGTCTTCAAAATTACGACAATCATTATCTGATAAGCTGAGGGTAGTTATAGAGAACAAGGACATGGTTTTCTCTTCATTTCGAAGATACCTTAGTATGAAGGGTGAAAGCTCCAAGGTTCAGACTTTATATGACCACTGCAAAACCATCTTATCGCCCACTGGAGCACCCCCTCCCTCTTTCCAAGCTTTGCAGAAGCTCTCTTCAATTCTGGGTATGCCTCTTTTGTTGTTCTCAACGTTCAAGTTTGCAGCTTTTTCTCTTTTTAAACAAAAAAATTTAACTTTTTTTTAATTTTTAGCTTCACGAGAATTCAGTTGGCCCAATTGGGCTTTTGGGGTATTTGAAGTTGCGAGTGTTGGGAATTTTGTTGGGGTAATCGTTGGTTGGTTAGTTGGTTTTGATTTTTTGGATTATGTTTTACATTATAATGCATGAAGGTTCTACGATTGGTTTGGTTTTGATCTTTGAAGAATGAAATATACTCCAATTAGTTAATGGGGAAAAACCATGAGGAAAGATGCATAAAGTAAGAGTGAAAGCTGCGTAATGTGGCTAATTTCTTTTATTGTAATTAATCTAGGTAATTTAACTTTGGCCATTTTTATTTTTTGGGGTCCTACAACTACGTAGGCACTCTCATATTAAAATGATTGGAAAACTGAAATGGATGTGTTGGAGAGTTGATTCTGATGTCACTCGTTATATTCAATGAATAGAGAATATGATATTGATAAATTGTTGTCAGGTTTGATTTGTTTAGCAAAACGAACATTAGCATTGATTTATTTGTGCATAATAATAAGACATTTATTTTGTTTCTGCTGCATGTTATAAATTAGAGATTTCCTAATGCACATGTCACATTGCTTTGGATAATGGAATCTTGATCTCTGTTAATTATTCATGACTTGGCAGACAGTATTCAACCTGCTGATGTTGGCCTTAAAGAGGAAACTGCAGACGATGATCGAGGGCATGGGTTTTTTGGTGCTAACCTACTTAATAGAGTGGATCGATGGGCTCAACCAATAACATATGTGGACATTCATGAATGTGATAGTTTTACGGTGAGCTTTACCATTTTAGTAGGTACAACAATAAGACAAGTATTTATATTAGGCTATTAGCATGATTGTTTCTAGTGGAGGATACTTGTGGTCTTCATAAAACAAAAAATATTAGGCTATTAGTTGTGTTGTGTATCAAAGCTTGAGGACATAAGTTGTAGGAACATGGTCTGCGTCCAGGCATAGATTTGTTCTTTTGTTTGCTTGATGTGTGGCTAAAGGTGCAATGCAGCAAACAAAATAGAAGAAACTGATTCAATAAGCCATGGCCATTTGAACATTTGGTTGTCATTTTAATGGGAATCAGGATCATGTCAGATTCAGCTTGTCTGTTGAATGATTGAACTAAAGCGTTAAGATATCATTTGTTTGCAAGCAGTATATGAATTATAAATACATTGGCCAATTTCAACCTGAGCATGGTAGCATTACTTTAAACATTTGTTACTTATTTGCTCTTTCTTCTCTTCTCCAACACTATGATAGTCGAAATTTATGTGATTGTAAGCATGTAGCCTTAGTGGCTTGCCTCTGCACTGCTGCAAGCTTCATGTCTATTCCTGTATGTTTATCTATATATTTTTCATTATTCTAGTCTTCTGAGTACTACTGGTATTAGGTATTTATACTACGATTCATTAATTTGAATATAGTATGATCATGACATTTACATTCTAGCATCAATTATAGTGATTTTCTTGTGACATTCCAACCGATGAAATGAAATTTATACTTAAAGCAAGCAATATCAATTGGTGCAGATGTGTATATTCTGTTTCCCAACTTCTTCGGTTATTCCACTCCATGACCATCCTGGGATGACTGTATTTAGCAAACTTCTCTATGGCTCTTTGCATGTAAAAGCTTATGACTGGGTTGAGCCTCCCTGCATTGTTGAAAGCAAAGGACCAGGATTTTCTCAAGGTTCAACTTGTATATTGCATTTACTTATGAGTTGACTTTCTTATTTCCTCCATTCTTTCATTTTCTGCTTCTTTCCCATTTTTTTTTTTTGTAAATTTTTATATATGCTTTTATTTTTTTGATTAGTTGAGATTGCTTTTGTTAATTTGCCATTTGATCTTTGAATACCTTGTCCCACTATATTGCATTATATCCTCCTTTGGATAGGAAACTTATTTTGCAATGTTGCTATTTCCCCCATCTCTCTATTATCCCTAAATTTGGTTTTCAATGGGTGGAGATGCAGTCTGTTTGATAGGCCTTTCCCCTTTGTCTACTAGTAAAGCGGGAAAAGAACGAGAGACGTTGCAAACATGCAGTGCATGTTATGAGCAACTAAGACAGTGATTAAAATCCTCATTAGAGGAGTTGCTTACACGTAATAAATATTTTCATTATGCTATGTTTTGGTTTTTAGTGATTTAGTTGGTTAATTCACTCTGTGGACTTAAATTTATATTCTTATATAATATACAGGAAATCTTTTATGAACATTAGACAATACGAAAATCATTTTCTTTATTGGCTTATACATCCTGCTCTTCTGCATCCTTATTTTGAAGTTACTTGTTAATTGAGTTTATTTTGTTTTAATTTTTATTTGGTGTAGTAAGACTAGCAAAGTTAGCAGTTGATAAGGTCTTGAATGCACCGTGTGAGACATCGGTTTTATATCCCAAACATGGTGGAAATCTGCACTGTTTCACAGCAGTAACACCTTGTGCTATGCTAGATGTTCTCACGCCTCCTTACAGCGAAGATGAAGGAAGGAAGTGTACATTCTATCATGATTATCCTTATTCAGCATTCTGTAAGTAACTGCTTAGTAATGTTGCTTGTTTTCAATACATCATAATACACAGTAGTGGTCAACATTTTACATGGAATAAAAAAAAAAAAATTTACCCTAAGGATGCGTTTAGAACGTGGAAAGTTTTTACTTTACCAAAAATATGAATTTGAGAATGTTCGTTTTTTATATTTGATTTATTATCGAAAAAATTACATTCTTAAGAAACATGATTTTTTGGGGATGTTTTCTATAAAGGTTTCTCACAAAAATCTTTAATTTTCATATAACATTTATAAACATTCCAAAAAATATTTATGATTAACTAAATATATTTAATCATTCTTTGGAATCATGATTCCCAGAAACCATGATTTATGGACATGAAAAAATTTCTCTTCTACCAAATGTTCCCTAAATTGAATTACAATTCTTATATCTGAAAGTATGTTGATGCTCTTAGGAATTGAGAATCCTTTATAGAATTCAGACATTCTTTTAAGGAGGAAGTGAGTCCAATATGAGATTTCCATGAGTGATATTCTCTCTGACTCTGCAGCAGCTGGAAGTGCACCTATATGTGATGGGGAAGAGGAGGAATATGCTTGGCTTGCAGAGTTAGAATCACCTAGTGATCTTTATATGCGCCAGGGGGTATATGCTGGTCCAGCTATTCAGATTTAGCTCTCTTGTTTGGATTTTAAAGCAATTGTACGTTTCCAGTTAAGGGTGGTTGATATTAATTTCTTGAAATATGCGTATCCCATTTTGTTCCTGGAAGCTAGCGACATGAGGCTCTAAAATGTTGATGGATGGCATGTTCTGGTTAATTTATGCCTCCTTTTGCTTGATGCATATTTTGTGCAGAGATTTTGATACATAAATCTGCAGTTTCTCATTAGCTAGGAATAACATAGCTTTTGCTATAGTGGCCATTGTGTATAATTTCATGTTTCCTTGCTAGTCTTTATGCATTTGCAATTTTATTTTATTTATCATGAAAACGGATCTTGGTAACTGAATTTACTAATATGAACGAGCTTTTTAATCATTGTAACCGATTACTTTTCCTGTTTAAAAATTCTATATCCAAATACACCATATTAGTATAATATGAAAACTAGAAAAATATTAATAACACATCCTTGAACATCCTCTTTGTTAATGACTAAAATTTGTTAAGTATCAACTAATTAAATGAACTCATGATTTTATAATCTTTAATAAATTTTAACCAATGGATGTGTAAAAATAAGTGTATTGTTATCGCTCTTGCATGTGTAGTGCTTTTCTTTTCTTTTTTTTTTTACCAGCATGGTAAAAGGAGAACGAAACTTGTTTAGTCTTAACACTTACGCCTGGTCGTAACACAAATGATTGGTCGTAACACAAATGATTGGTCGTAACAGATAGTACTTGTTCACAAGAAAAGTAGAGATGCACAATTACAAACACTGAACTACAAAACAACAATCTCCCCCTTTCAAGTATGAAATCCTATTGTCGTATGCAGAGGAACTTACACATGTAGCGTGTTTTTTCAATATATAAAAAAAAAAAAAAAAAACCCTACGGAGCCATGTTACTGCACTAAATTATCATCAATCACTTAAACCTAACTCGTTGAGTAGATCTGAAAACCCTAGAAGGCTAGCACCAACTTCAAAACTGACAATTTTCCGTGGTATATCAATGATGACAATGATTCTCATGCAGAAACATTTCCAGAATAAATATTTTTTGAGATCAGTAGTTGTTCATTCTAAGGTGATCTGAAAGCTTCACCAGCATATCGCACACTTCCAAGTTCCTCTTCAATCCGAAGAAGCTGAAAAAAGAAAATATTCACGATTGAGAACTTGCATTGGATCGTTCCATATCATGCTAACCATTCATATAATATTAGCAATCGAATGTTGAAGAAGCACTCTAAAAATTACTTTTCAAGAGCAATGATGTTCTATCAATTAAAATCAATATAATTGAAGTTTTGAAACTGAAATATGCTATAGAAACATTGACTATGAATCATTCATTAACTCAAACTCTGCATAAGTATACTCAGTTTCGTGTTTCACTTGTATCAATCTTTTACCATGCCAAGCCCAAATAATGAAGTATACGAAAAGAAAAATGAAGACCGGTTAAAATAGGTCAGACACAAAGATACTTATGATATATGGTGACATTTGATTAATGAAAGAACTTTGCAATAGTCTAGTCATAATGATTTCTATGTTGTCACAGAGTGAGCTCAAATCTTGAATCAAAGAAAAGGAACACAAGATTCCAATTACCTGGTTATACTTTGCTAATCGTTCACTTCGGCAAGGAGCACCGGTCTTTATCTGGAGTTCAGAATTTGGATAATCAACATGAAAGTGATAACATAACAGAAATTTATAGCAGCTAAAAAGATCAAATTCACAAAAACAGAAAGATAAGATATAGAACCTGTCCACTGGCCAAGCCAACAGAGAGATCAGCAATGAAGTTATCCTCAGTCTCACCACTCCGATGACTAACCATGACACCCCAACCTGCAGCCTTTGAGTCAAGTGCAGCCTGAATAGATTCCGTCACTGTACCAATCTGGTTAACCTGCAGTCAATGGAAAACAGAAATAACAAATGAAGCACTAATTGTGGCCATAAATTCAGATAACATGCAGCTGCTGTTTGATTAGTTTTGATAAAATGCAAATAAAAACAATTATCTTAAAGCAAGCTAGCTGCAAGGAGGAAATGCTTTGGACACTAAACTAAAAATATAATGAAATGAAATAATTTTATTACATATTAGCAATAAAGCATAATGATTGAAAGAAATTTTGTTTAAGAAAGCTAACCTTTAGAAGCAAACCATTGCAAGCCTTCTTTTGGATGGCCTCAGCTATTCTCTTTGGATTTGTAACTAACAAATCATCTCCTACAAGTTGAATATCAACTGAAGAGAGCAGTGAAGCCCATGAACCCCAATCATCTTGATCAAATGGATCCTCAATTGACACAATGGGGAATTCTTTTACAAAATCTACATAAAGTTGACCAAGACTCTGAGCAGAGTGAACATGAGTTCCATCATTTGGCTGTTTCTTGAAGTTTAAATCATACGTCCCATCCTTAGTGTAAAACTCTGAAGCTGCAACATCCATACCTATTTTAATCTGCACCATTGTTATTTGTTTCCAGATCAGCATAAGTGAATATTCAAATTATGCAACAGCAACAATCGAAGCATCACCCACCTTGCCAGTATAACCAGCCTTCTCAATGGCATCGATGAGTAAAACCAGCCCCTCCCTGTTATCCTGGACACTGGGAGCAAATCCTCCTTCATCTCCAACATTACATGCATCTTGTCCATATTTTGCCTTGATTATGCCCTTTAATACATGGTAAACTGTTCTACCACAAATAACCAAGTAAACTGATTGTCACCATAACGAAATTTATGCTATAGATACTATGCATTAAGGAAAATTGGAGTTTAGCTTAGCCATCAAATCATATGCAATCCGTACCTAAGAACCTAAGATTAGAATGAAAATCAATATCTGAACTCATAACAATTCACACTGACCTAAGTCCAATCGATTGAATTATTGACCAACAACTACAATGCCAAAATGAGAAAATGCACACAAAAGACGCATGATTACAGCCACAAGTCATACAAAGTCACAACCATACTTCCTCAGTTTGGTTACAGTCAGTCATAAAGCAAGAGGTTTCTAACCTTCACTGCCCATGCGGAGTGCCTCAGCAAATGATGTTGCTCCCACAGGTAGTATCATAAATTCTTGCATAGCAAGATTATTCCCAGCATGACTGCCCCCATTTATAACATTAAAAGCTGGAACGGGCATAACTAGTTCCTTTGTTCCTGAAATCTCTTGAATGTGCTTGTACAAGGGCACTCCCTTTGCTCCTGCACCAGCTCTACACACACTCAGTGAAACTCCCAATATTGCATTAGCCCCTAGTTTTGATTTGTTAGGAGTTCCATCAATTTCTAGCATAATAGCATCCACATCAGCTTGATTCCTTGTTAAACACAGCCATAATTGTCAGCCATACAGCACAAAACGTCAAGAACAGAACCCATATTTTTGTTAAGAGTACATGTAAATATGAAATCAGATTCTCATTCTTTCCTTCCTTTGTAAAACTATAACAACTCTGAAGAAGAAATGATGAAAATATCGTTCATTAAAAGCAAAAACAACATCTAGAGCCAAGCATAACACTCAAAAGTGGTGTCCAACTCAATGTATAGCAGGCTACATACACATAGTTCGGAAAAACTTCAGCTAACCAACTAACTCCATTTCATAATATTTCACATTAATTTGATTCCAAAGCTGTCTCTACTGCATCACTCAGACTGCTGCAGCATTACAGCAGCTTTCCAACTTTTATAATGGATTATTAATCACTAACAAAACACAACGTAAGCTTTTGACATTGATAGTAAGGCTCTAGTACCTGTTACTTTCCAAAGGCTCAACAACTTGAATCTTTTAACAGATTAATCAACATCAAATGCTGGTGTAAAGGCAACATTACATTGACAGCTGGTAAGTTTCAAGATCCCCAAAATGATTGAGATTTTATATGCATACACCAGAGTAATTGAGTGAAGTTGGATGAGCATTTGTAAAATTGATTTTGGTTAACAATGATATTGAAGTGGTGATTTATTTATTTGGATGTTTTTATCCTGAAAATAAGTTTGATGTAAAATGTAGCCCAAAATTTTCAACCTAACACCTATTTTTACCACTTGAAGTTGAACTGGGGTTTGGAAGGAAAATCGATTTCACTTATCAATAGTCAAACATATGTGTCTTTACTAAAAACACAGTTGACAAGAGGCAAAATTAATTCTGGTACTTCTCACCATGAAACCAATCACACCTTGAACATTGACCAATAGCTTTCATACCTTACTCAATTCCTTGAGGCGTAACATTTGAACCATCCCTGATTCAATTTTGTAAACATTTTCTCAACAGAAACACAAAATTAGCCTTCTCTTTTCTTATCTTCCAAACAATCCAAGGAAACCTCAAACCTCCTTATTCTAGAATTTTAAGAAAGTCGATTGAGCTTAACTCAACCTTACATTATAATGTAAGAATTATCCCTACTTATATACCATATTTTGGTCTTCTTACCACTTGGTGTAGGATCTCCAACACATTCTCCTTACACCGAAGACTGAACATCTTGATTCTCGTGTGTAAAGTTTGCAAGACTGAAAACTTGTAAGTGGTCCAATAGCAACCCACACAGGATAGGTCTAACAACAACCGATCGGATAGACTCTTGTACCATTTTAAAAAAAGTGGATTTTAGCTTAACTTAAATCAGCTTGTAAAGTGAGTATTACCAAGCTTATATACTTCATTTTAGCCACCTTACCAGTATAGAACTTAATGTCCCCTGCAAGTGGGTCAGATAGTCACCTACACACGATGGTCCCAACAACAATTGCTAAGATAGACTCTTGTCCCATCTTAAAAAAAAGTGATTTTGAGCCTAACTTAAACCAGCCCGTGAAGTGAGTATTACCCCTACTTATACACTATATTTTAGGCATCTTACTGGTATAGAACATAACATAACGTCCCCTGTTACTTCTACCGATCCACCTACCCTTCATTCTTTCTTGTTCACTTAGGTTCAAGTTCAACAATAACAAACAAGGACCAAATGGTCAACGACAAAACAAACCAACAGAGGAAGCAAGTCCGTTACCTAACGTCAACGCCAACGAGTTTCGGGGCCAACACCTCGTTGATGTTCCTAACGGCGTTAAGAACGCCCTTCCCGCCGTAAACACTCTTGTCCCCATCCCTGAGCTCCAAAGCCTCGTAAATCCCCGTCGACGCGCCGCTGGGCACCGCCGATCGGAAAAGCTGGTCGGTCAGCAGATCCACCTCCACCGTC